ATTTAATGTATCTTAAATGAAAAGAAACTCACATATATATATATCAGACTTGCCCATTACTATATATGGGAAAAAAGTTTTTGGGGTTTTGTATGGTTTGGTTGCTTAAAAAGATGATAAATTAAGTAAAAAAATTTCTGATCAATCGCTTTATCGCAATAGGGAAAGTTGAGTTGCAGTATTTAAACTTTCGGAAAACATGTTTTAAATAGTACTATGTCCTTTGTATATATACGCAGCAAATAATGAGAATTCCAAATTGTAATTTTTAGTATTATAAAAAAAAATAATGGTACGACAAAGCTTTGACTCAATACTTTAGACCTCATTCATTTTAAGAAATAATTGCTTGAAACTTATTATTGCTATTGCTGTACTTAACAACAGCATCTATTGCGTCAGATCTAATGCTTCATCAGTACTGATATCATCAGTAGACATATGACAGCATCATCTACTCTAAGACTCAGTCACACCACAATGGAGTGCTAGTGACCATGGACACGACTCTATTCTAAAAGTTTTCAGTCCTACTACAAATAACATTGACTACACCCTTCCCGTTCTCGATTTTGATGGGAAATTCGTTGTTAAATTCTCATCAAGAGAGGTTTGGCTGTCAGGCGGCCCCTCCTTGGGTCAGGGTCTAACCATTTTTACCGACAGTTCGAAGAAAGAGTAAAGAAAAAAAGAAAATAAAGAAAGAAAAGTAAAAACCCAATTTAATATTCTATTCTCAGAGGTTAATAAATTTAATCTCACTTCTTATATAAATTAATGTTTGTGCTAAAGCGGCATTGTTGTAGTAAAGATTGCAATACTATTTTGTCGTTGCTCGAGAGAAAAAATGATGTATCGGCATTAAGCAGTACTGAGACAAATCTATATATTTATTAAATACGAATAAAAAACTGTTTCACCTACACGAATGCTACCAATTCTGGAGTATCGTCTTTTATGATAAGAAAAATTTTTCTGTTGAGAAATGCTTAAATAAACAAAATAATCGATTTGTTTGCTAGGCCAATCTTACGAATAGTCTCAAGAAGTTTAGCAGCACAGTTCAAGTGTGAGATTTTAAGTGAGAGATGGATATCCCAAAAAGATTCGTAGTAAAAAGTGTTTAAGAGTGTTGATGTGCTCAAGAAATTCATTTTATGCGAATGAATTAAAGGATAAAAATTCTGCTGATTTGTATGCGTACAGTATGCGATTACTATCGGATACCTGAAAGTTATAGTTCGTGTTAGAGGCGGTCTTATTGAAGACTCGAAATGAATTTGAGAGCTTTAACGGTACAGCAAGAAATTTTTTTTTTTTTGGGTGCAGTAAAGTTTAATTTTAAATAAAAATATATAACATTCTGAAAAGTCACAGTTAAGATGTGATATCGTAAGCGATATAGAAACGATTCGAACTTATAGTTTCAGCACTAGAAATATTGAAATCATATCTAAAAATGAATGTGATAGTTTAAAATCGACCTTTTTCGACTTTAATCCTAGTATTTTCTAGTGCTAGAAATCTTTTATGTTATTTACTTGTCTACATAATACGATAAAGCATAATCAAATATCTGGTTTTCGCTCCTCTTGCCAAGTTAGTCTACAAGTTTTGCTTTTATTACAAATATCTATTATCGATTAAAGATTATGTCTAATATTTTATATAATTTATATTAAGTTTTTGGATTATTAAGCCAAACCAAGGGGTCTATTTTTAATGCATGCGGTTTATCTCAGAATGATTATTTTATTAGTGTGATTAGAAATTCTTTTGAACACTTTTTGCATTTCTTTATTTATACGTCTGTGTATTATCAAATAAATCTAAAATGTGATAAGAGAAATATTCATAGTGGTTATTCGATTAGATTCTTTCTATATCAATGAATTGAGATCACATAGAGTAATTAAGATATATATTTTCAGTGCATTTGCGGACATAGGATTTAATGCTTATATTTGTTAACTTATCAATAGTAAAAATATTCGGTACTAAGGAAAGTGTGTTTTATAAAAATAAACAAATTATTATACATCCGCTGAAAAAAATATATAAACAAAGTATATTTTCAAAAATTAGCAAACTACTTTATATACCTATTATATATTAGTTCATTTTAATATATTTCATTTTGTGAGCTAATTCCTCCGTATATATCACAAAAAAAAATTTTTTTACTAATCATCGATTATTGTTATAATTTGTTAAATGTAGTGACCACTTTATGTCTTATGTCTTTAAGCTCAAAATTTTATTAACGCTTCAAATGTTACTTAGAGGGGTTTTCGAAGTGCAGCATCTAATCAAATAAAATAAAAGCCTATAATTTTAGACAGCAGACAGGGATTAAATTCCCTGACTTTATGAACGTTGACACAAATAAACAATATAATCATAGAGTACATTATGTTCTATGATCTTGAGAATCGTGAGGCAAACTATTAACAGTGCCAACTTTCGATAATAGACGATATTTAATTGAACGTCGCCCGACGTTTTTGAAAATTTTTCAACTATTTTTTTTACTGACTAAAAGCTCTTGTATCTTTCTGTAAATATAAATATAAAGTATATTATATTTTATAAATTATGAGCGTAATTATAGAACATTCACCAATATGAACAATATTATTGCTGAATTGACATTTATCTAATACAATTAATACACCGAAAACTTATACTAATCTAATAGATAACCTTCCAAAAGGAAATTAAAAGACGATTTAAGGAAAACAATTCTTAATCTCAAAATGTATCAAATGTTGTTCTACACTTATTCATCTTTCAAGAAAATTTTTATTTTATTTATATATTTTTAGAAAATTAGCTTAATACGATTTTAGTGCTGTTACAAAGCATTGAAGTCAATTGAATATCAATTTAGTAAAAAAATTTACAAAGTTTAAAAACATGTTTTATGATAATAAAGTAAATTTGTTATATCGAAGAATGTCGCAGCAAGTGCAATTGTTGTTAACGAATGAAGTTTTCATTTTAATAAATTAAATTAAACAAAATAAGTGCACGTTGACTTTGTGTGTTTTGTTAATACGCGAGACTATGATTCAAATTTTATAGGGTTCGATTCCTGACAGTCATATATAACTCGCTATAGTATTATATCGACAATTAAACCAATATATGTATCCGGACACTGTTGATTATGTTGGAAATTTGACGGCATTTGAAAGATCAAAATAGTTCTTCAGAAGAATAAAATTAAAGTTCTTTTGGAAATAGAATTCTTGTCATAGGGCATGAATATGACCTAATAACCTTTTGAGACGTTTCATCTCCTGACTAGCTCAGATCTATGTGCTCAGCTTAGATAAGTAACATTACTTGCAATATTAATTAAAAAACCTCTTATTAGTCAATATGACGATTTGTTGTTAATTTAAAATCTACACTTTGTTTAAATATAATAAAAAAATAAAAAAAGGGCATGAATATGTTAATTTGAAAATTAGTTACTTAGTTTAATAAACTAATTAATTAGTTTTACTGTTTATAATGCAATAAAAAAATCTATAATTAATAAGAATTGCTTTTACATACTTCGATACAAATCTACCATAAATTTCATGACTAAAAAAGTTTAAATAATTCCTTATACAAGTCAGACAATTTAAAACTAATGCAAAATTTATTTCAAAAATATTTAAGAAATCTTTTCTTTTAAAGAATCTTATGCTTTGTCTCAATAGATTCCTTAAGAAATTTTTCCAAACTCTACAAAACACAATTTTTCTATTATTGTATTTATAAAATAAAAATAATGAACTAATTAATAGAGAGGTTTCGAAAAGCACTGAACTACAGTGAATTTATTTTATATTTTAATTAATTGAATTTTTGACTGTTCATACAGCTGTTGCGAGTATTGCTAAATACCCAACAGTAGTGGTCTTGAAATTATTTCTTATATTTAATTATTCATAAACTGTTTGTGTTTTTTTAAGACTGCAAGCACGAAGGGTGGAACTCATGCCCTGCCAAATTTAAAGCTCAAAGTCAATGTTCAATCGACTCACAATTCGCCGAAATCCGTTGTTAATCGTAACAACCGGGAAATCGCTATCTATTTTGTTTTTTTTATTATGTACTTTGTTGTTTTTTGGTTCTTCGAGATAATTGTGCTCCCAAAAGCACTATTTTTAATTCTAGAAAAAACAATCACTCAGAAAGTATACCAAATTAGTGCTTATTGTCAATAAATTTACTAGGAAACGCACTGGATTTTAAATAAGATTGGACTTAACCCACTTAAAATAAAATTTAATCATAATGTAATTTATTAATATATAACTTAAATGGGAATAGTTAGTATTTTTTGTTACTAAAACAACCATTTATTTACTTAAGACCAAAGGTAGTTTTATCGAAATTTTAAATATATATAATTTAAACAATTATAAAAAAAATTTAAAAACCAAATATAAATTTTAAAACTATATATATTATTAAAAAGACAACAAAACTGTTTGTTAATATATTGAAATTTCGTGGAACATACAACGCTGTTTTCGAGTATTGGGAAATACTCATTATAAATGGTCTTTGGAAATATTCAAATTTTTAATTAACTTATAGTTCGAATATTTCCAAAAACCACTGATGATGAGTACTTACTTAGCAATACTTGAAACATCGTTGTGTGGTCAGCCGAATTTTAATAATTTAAAATAAAAAATTTTTGTTATTGTGTTTTTAATTCTATTCGAACCCTTCTAATTTTTAAATAGTTTATTTTCACCATAAGACGCATCACTTTAGAAAAAAAATTAACATTATATATATTATTATTTTGCTAATAAATAAGTGCTTTTTTATATATATTAAGTTTTTTTTTTAAAACAAAAAAAAATTAGATAAATAAGAACTAAATAAATTAATATTGTTTTCCAAATTAAAATAATTTATAATAAAACTATATATGCAAATCTTTATTTTTACGCATAACTTTAATTTTTACTTTTTGTTTTTATTTTCAGATTGGAATAATTTAAATAGTCAAAATTAATTTTACTTAAGCTTTAAGCTTGACAATCTGTGATATATCCAAAGTTAATTTTAATACAATATTCTCAGAAATAACTAGTGGGCACAATGTGCTGTAAATGTTGTAGTGTTACACAGCGAAAAGTTTGGGTTTATGGCCTTGGAACTGTATTTGTTGTTTTAGGAATAGTTTTGGTCATAATATGGCCGGACGTTTCTCTAAAAATTATGTACAATGTAAGTTATTCAAAAATATATATCATAAAATTATCTTCAATTTTAGGAATTTGTAATTTTTTTATTGTATATAAGTATTCTGTTTCAATATATAGTTATAATATTATAAAATTAATTGTTTTTGTTTTTTATAAAAAATCATTTAGTTAAAATTTTTTCATGTATTATATTTGAGATTTTTGTATACCCACCATATATGATATAAGTCTGGTTTGATGACTAATGATAGTCACACAATCTTGAAATTATATTCGTAATATTTTGTTTTATAATTTGGCAATTAAAACGATAAAGTTTTGCGGAATTGAGTGGATAAAGAAGAACTTTGGGTGTGGATTATACAAAACATTTTCAAAAAAGAATATGGACAATATGGAAACATTGCACCATCATATGGTTTATTTCAAAACTGGCTTACCGAATTTTGTGTTAAGTGGATAAAATTTAGTGATGAAAAACTCCAGATCTCTGAGTATAAATAAACGATATTATGGAGGCGATTGCTTCAATTTATGAATATTTTGAGGTGCTCTAAAAATTCTATTTTTTAAAAAGAATATATATATAAATTGGAACAGCGTTGCAAAAAGATGTATGAAGACCTACGTCAAATAATAAATTTAAAATTAAACAAAAAATTCAAATTGTTTATTACTGACTTATCTAGCAGACATCGTATATCTTCACTTCCAAACATGCAGTCAGTCAATGGAAATTAAATATTGAATGTTATCTTAAGTTACCTTAATTTACTGATATATATTATTCTGCTAGATAGGATTATAAAAAGTTGTACTGTTTTATACATTAGCTGATAGAAAACAAATAAATAACGTAAAAAATCGGCATTACATCGTAGATTAGTTTAGAGCAGTTAAAAAGGAAGTTCTAGACAAGGTATTACATATAAAACCAGAATCTTATTTATAATAATGAATATTAACCTGATTTAATAGCGATGAATGATATTTATTATATATGACAATATTTCCAATACTGTTAATATCGTTATTATAAAATTCATATAAACTAGCACCCCTGTGTGGTATTTAGAATCTAGAGTTTATGTTTTTATAATAAAAAATGGCATTAGTATTACTCAACAAATAGAAAAAATTTATTGATAAAATTGCATTTAAGTCAAACATATATTTATATAGATATATGCGTTTCATATATTATATATATTTCATTATTTATAATATTTCTTAATTTGCTCAATTCAAAAACATATTTCTTCTCATATTCACAGAATTTGGTATTAAAAACTGGCTCCGAAGGTTATGAAAGTTGGGTCGAAGCGCCAATCCCAATTTATTTGGAGTTTCATATGTTTAACTGGACCAATCCTGAAGAAATACGAAATCCGAATGTTAAACCGAATTTTGTAGAAATGGGACCATATGTTTTTCTCGAAAAGCACTTAAAGCAGAATATAAGTTTTTATCCAAATGAAACGGTGTCTTATTATGAAAAAAGAACATGGTTTTTTGATAAAGAACGGTCTAATGGAACTTTAGATGATATGATAACAACTGCACATGTTATAACTGCAGTATGTACTTGCATTTTACAAAATTGATATCAATGTATATATTCCATATATTTTTATTTACTTTATAGACCGTTGCAGATGAAATGCGACATCAGAAAAAATTTGTGAAAAAAGTGATCAACTTTATGTTAAATCATGAGGGTGGAAAATTGTATACAACTAAGCCAGCAGGCGAATGGATCTTTGATGGTTATCAAGACGATCTCATTGACTTTTTAAATCTTTTTAATACAACGAAAATTAAAATTCCATACACACGTTTTGCTTGGTTAGCAGATCGTAATGGCTCTGTTGAGTATGATGGACTTTTCACAATACATACTGGTGTTGGTGATATAGCTGATCTTGGAAGGCTTACTCATTGGAATAGAAATAATGAGAGTGGCTTTTATGAAGCTCCATGTGGTACAATAAATGGTACTACTGGTGATCTATTTCCTCCGCATATGGATACCAATGAAGAAATCACAATTTTCGCCACTGATGCATGCCGATATATGAATTTGGCTCCAAATGGTACTTTAGAGCGGCATGGTATTAAAGCAACTCAGTGGGTTGGTACAATTGAAACGCTTGATTCTGGTGAAAATTACCCAAATCAAAAGTGCTTCTGCAATCCTTTGCATGAGGAATGCCCCAAAACGGGTGTCGTTGACTGCAAAAAGTGTAGAGATAATGCTCCAATCTATGCTTCGTTTCCACATTTCTATCTCGCTGATCCATCGTATATCGATGCAGTTTCTGGCATGAATCCAGATCCAGAGAAACATCAATTTATGCTGTCAGTTGAACCTTTCACAGGAGTGCCTCTTCAAGTAAATGGACGTTTACAAATAAATATGATGATTGAACCTGATGATATGTTTGAGTAAGTTTCAATAAATACATTTTTATTATGTATAGTTTTTTAATAGAAATATAATCCTGCATAATTTTAGTAACAATTATGATTTATTCTTAACAAAATATGCAATTTAATTTTATTTGTATTACTAAATGTATTTACCATTATATTTTGTGTCCAGTATATATAGGGGTGTGCCGAAATTTTTAATGCCAATGTTTTGGTTTGAACAAACTGCTCAGCTTGACAAAAAACTCGCCAATAAAACAAAAGTAAGTTTCTTTTTTAAAAATATTTATTGATAATGATTTAATTATTAATTTTCGTTTTAGCTTGCTATTAATTTAGAAGATTATGGATTTTATTTCGGTATATCACTTATTGTATTTGGTGCCTTATTTTTCATAGTCGGGATTATTTTGACTGTTACAAAATCCTGGCAGCGTCGCAGCAACGAAGATGAAGATATGCTAACAAACTAATTGTTTTCTAAAAATTTAATTAGATTTTGTTTTTTTTTTTGTTTTTTGTACATATCATTTTAAATATACGTTTAGTCATTTTTATTCAATTAATATCGACATTATCATTTATGTTAAAGTATTATGTAATTACAAAAACAACGAAATAAAAGTAATGCTACTAACTTAATATATTTTTGTATTATTACTTTATGAATTAAGACGTTTTTGGGTTGGGTATCTTATTATATAATATTTATATAATAAATAGTTATATAGTTTTTATAAGTTTTTTAGTCATTAAATAAACGAATTTTTAAAAATAATTACTTATATGTTTATATTTAAATGCAGTGTTTTTCTAAGAGGAGTTTATATCTTATAGGGTTTGCTATGTTTTAAAAGTTTTAGAAATGTCTATAGGGGTCATACTTTTACAAATCGAACAACACTTTGACTTCATCATCTCCATTTTGGCTGAAATTTTTTTTATGAGCTCCTTTCATAAAATAAGAAGACCCGTATCTCGGAAAAAAAATATGAAATTTTCTTGCTAGGAGATATGGACCCATGGGGTTTTGAAATTGTAGACACATTTTTAAATGGTCATTTCTCAGGCTCCATAAATGATAGAAACTTGAAATTTGTTGCGTTTTAAAAATAATTGATTGAATATTTAAGAAATAGTTTAAACAATTAAGATTGTGTATTTTTAAGTATTAATATTAACTGTTAAATTTCAAAATAAAATTAATTCAAATGTGTTGAATTAAATTTTATTAGAAAATAAAAATTTTCAGAATGGCATTATTTTTTGAAATTTTTTTTTCCCACAAAACACATCAGCTCATGCGTACTATATTTCCGATGAATGAATTTTTAAAGAAAAGAACACAAAAATTCTTATATATTATTTTTGATTTCGATTTGTAATAAAATTTTACATAATATCCAAAACTTAGAGGACGGCATTGTCCTTACAAGTATTTTTTAAAAATTAATTTATCCTTTACCACACATACACATACACAAAATTTTTCAGTAAAAAAAAAGGGCGAACATGCCAGAAAAATTTTTATTTTTATTTCTGATTCGGATTAACCAATAATTCCTGCCTAAAAAATAAATATTTCCAGTGTGGAATTGTTTTTAGAAATATTTAAAAAAATTAATATAATATCTTTAATAATAATATCTTTAAATCTGTTTTACACAAAAAGTGACACAAAAGTGTTTAATTTTTTTTTTTAATTGAAATTATTATTAAGATCTACATAAAAATTAAAATTTATAGAACGTTATTGTTTTCGCGTTATGTATGACCCATATACATTTGATAAAAATGTCAACCTTTTTTTTAGAGTTAGTAGTAGTATCTGATTAACCACCATGTTATGTTCCTAGTAAATCAATTATTTATATTATATATTAAAAGTTTAAGATCTATGTCACTTTATATTGAAATATAAATTTCAGGCATAAATGACATATGCCTGAATGTCATATCACCTACTTATTTTGCACCAATGAATTGGAGACAGAAGATTCAGCACACTCAAATTGATATATACACAATAAAAATAAAATCTATCTACACTCACTAGAACACTTTTTCTATATTCTATATATATCTTTTGTTATATCGTTGTGACGATATGAAGGCTGACAGCAACAGTGAGATTGCGTATGGTCAACTGACAAGGCCTAAACGCTATTTGTACAAACGCAGTATTTTCTCCGATATCTTATATACGTCGCAATAACCTTGGTAACTAGTCTTTATCTAAAATATCAAAAGTTAGAAAACTGTGAAGTACCACATAGGGTCAGAATATATCCAGGTGTCAAACTGTTACTTGTTAGATATTAACATGTGTGTTTCCAATATCAAATACTTTTAGCCTTAAATTCCAGCACTCTGCAGAAGAATCATTGGGTGTCAAAATGAAAATTAGACGATTAAAATTCGGTATTTTCTAAACCAGTAAAGATATTGAAATGAAATTTTCTTAGAATATAGTTTTGATATGGTCTTTCTTTTGATATATTTGGAGTCTTATCCAGAACATGGCCAACTTTAACAATTTTTTAAATATCTTAAAAACTTTGATAGGAAGAAATTTGAAATTTGGTGTACTAAATACCAGAGCTATAATACATATACTTAAAATATATTTAAGGAATATATATCATTTCCATATCACTACTGGTTCAGTAAAAACCGTAATATTGTTAACTTAATAACCAACAGCTTGACTGGTGTTAGCTATTGAAAATTAAGTAAAAATTATAATTCTCACTTTGTTTAGTGAGTTGAAGCTATATATAGTTCAAACCTCTACAATAGTTAGTGAGTTAGAAAATAATGTTAATATAAAATTGTGCGTTTTTAGTCGGTTCAAAGATACTAGAAATTATTCTACAATTTCCTTATCTGTATACTATAACATGCCTTATGATACGTTGTAATAGATTCGCAAGCTATATGTATTGGTTTAGCGCATAAAACGATAGCATCATTTAAAATAATGTGGTGTATTGTTATTTTAAAGTATAGCAAGTTTTCACCTAAACTTAAATATTCTTCACTGGGAGTTAGTAGGACTAAAATAACTTTGCAGATCTACAATCAAATCCAGTTAAATAATATGTACTAACAATAAATAATTTCATATCAATATTCAGAAAATACTAAATTTTGATCATCTAATTTTTGTTTTGACACTTTGCGAGACAGTTCTAAATGTCTACTTTATACGAATACTGCTTGAATTCACTATTTT